ACTGTACAACACTTGTTAATTAATTCATTGGTGAATCTCATTCTTCTGGTTTTCCTTTTGTGTGTGACCCATCAGGTTCCCGATCACGATACCTAACGACATGAATTATTATTTTGATCTAATAAAAATTGATAAATTAAAATATCCATTTTAATTTATAATCAATTTACATTCGTCATCTCAGATTGACATCTAGCAATGTATTGAGGTAATACATGTGACAAGAAATTTCACGTGGTATGACAAAATCAAACTTGTTCGTTTACCATGAAACTATAATCATTTTTTCAATATGATCCGATCAATTACTAGATATGAATATGTGACATACCCGAACGATGCCATATTAGCTAAATTACGATCCTTGGCACAGCAACATCTAGCATCACCAAAGTATGACTGTCCTCATATAAGATACTATGATGATCTCAAGTCAAAGGACCAATTCCACTACTGAACGTTAGGGATTGACCACCGACACTCACATAGTTATTCATATGGAATCTCCTCAGCGGGTCTCCAATGTTTTATTCTATAACAAAACATTCGCGTGTTCATTTAAGTGTCACCACACTTTAACTTGTGAGATCAGCTACTTACTTCACAGGTAAGAAATTCTACACGTGATGGTCTATACGACCACTGATGATTTAAGATTCAGTCATATGTAATTTGTATATCACAATTACAACTATTTGTAATTAACAAATTACAAAGACTTGAATATACGGATTCTATTATTTAATTTATAAGAACATTAATTCAATTAAATAATAGATTTTGTCATAAATATGCATCAATTATATATACTAAAAGTGTTTATATTCAAACTTGATTGGACCTAGGGCATAACACTTACAAATTCCCACTTGCACTAGATTTAATCACTTATGTATCTTCCACCGTAAGAGTCTACATGACGATCACGTTTATGCTGCGANGTGTGTATGTCCAAAGTTGAGTGGACTAGGGCATAACACTTACAAACTCCCACTTGCACTCGTTCCAATCACTTATGTATCTTATACCATAAGAGTCAACATAACTCGATTTTATCCCTGCGTGAATCAATATATGACTGAAAAATAATAATATAACGGGGTTCAATATCTTAATGCTACTTTTCGAAACCTACTTGACTTGAGTTATTAAGCCCACGGGGTTTCTCATAACCTGGTGTCTATGGTCATCTGATTTGGGTTAACCGGCCTAAAGCTCGTTACATGGGTCATGTTAATTACTAAATGGAAAGAAGATTGCACTTAAGATGAAAAAAATTATATAAGCATTCATATTTAAAGTGTGATAAAAGAAAAATTATTTATTCTGTAAGTTAGGGGAGAAAATAATTGATTTGAAGTGAGTTTTCATATGTAGGTTCTAATGTTCTTTAA